ATATAAATGTATCATATTACTGTTAGTTTGGTAATGTACTGTATAAGAGCAGAAATTACCTTCTAGCCAGTTGTAAAATCCTTCACCTGTGTAAAGAAAATATTTATGTTATGCTTTATTTATTAAATCATGTAACCCAGAGAAGGATAAAGATTTGAGAATTCAGAGGGCATCTGCCACTTAAATTGCCCCTGAATAAATTATTTTGAATTAAAGTGAAAATACATTTTCTACATTTGATCTAAAATCTATTCATAATCTTGATACAACATGAAAACTGCAAGTGTTCATTCAGTATTTCATACTTTCACTGATGCTTAGACTACAGGTATTGGATATTGCAAAACCAAATGTATCCAAGATAACTGCACATTTTCCAAATCGACTACTTAAATTTATTCACACCCTGCAAATCCACTCAATCTAGATATAAATACATGTATATTTAATGTCGTACAACTGTCTGAAGTTCTTAGCTACAGGTTAATAGTGATCACCGACTTTATAGTCAGCAATGGAAAAATGAAGAAATCCCAGTTTTGATTGTGGCGTCCGATATCCAGTTGTTCAAGGATAATGGGATAGTTGCTACCCCACCAGGAAGAGGATGAAAGTGCACTTTATCTAAATCTGTGGCTAGAGAAGTTGTCTGGGAGGTTAACTCGCACGCAAGGGTAAAAACGGCCTTCTCAAATCATCAGGATTAAATAATCCCTATGACTAGTCCATATTTTCCTATTTTAGACCTAAAGCCTAATTAGATTTTCCTGAGTCTTAATCAAAGAGGAAGATAACTCATCTGTGCTATCAGCCAGGTGCTACAGCAAATTTCAGATCAGCAACAAAGTTCTTTTTATTTTTTCTATATGCCTATGGGTAACTACTGAAATAGTAAACACTGGAGTATGAATATTCTTCATATAGAACTAGAAAATATGACATTGTTTTGGGTTTTCCAATACTAATATTCTAATATATTTTCAGTTTTCATTTCTGTAACAAACTGTGAATGGACACTTGCATTTTGTTCTTGCTAAGACCGGCTTTACATTACCAGCAGTTACATTATATAAAGGGCATGTGGAGCCACTGTGTAATCATAGAGGTAGCAAAAACATGGAAACTATTATAATATGATAGACTGTATAGCTGTGTGTTGGCATTAAAGAAAATAAATATTCTTACCGTCATCATCGCCTAAAAAAAAAAAAAGAACAAAAAAGAATCTTACAAACACATCTCCAGCACAAGAATGACAAAGTCCACATTCACACAAGTACTGCGCAAGTGTAACTGCGTAAGAGGTTTCCACTCACTTTTCTTATGCTTAAGTGACACTTAATTCCTGACAAGACCAGGGCGAGTGGCGTCTGTTTTAATTCTGCTGTGTGGCCAACTCCTGACATTTCAGCCAGAGGAGCACAGAGAAGAGCACACTCACAATCTCACTCATCCCTCTCTTACCTTTGCTTGGAGCCAGTGGATTAAGGGGACGATACACGGATCGAGGCCTGGAGAGAGAGAGACAGCCATTCAATCCAGCGCATGCTTTCCAGTAACTAGGTGGAAAGCCTAAGAAATAAAGTGAATTTGTTTCCTCACTTGAAGCAGTTTTCCTCGTAGATGCTGTTCCACACCCGCCATGCGGACGGGCCCTTGTACCCAGTGTAACGCTCAGGGTTCAGACGTAGGTCGACGTATTCTGCATCAGGCGAGGTCTCATCTGAAGAACAAGAACGGTCAGCCCCTG